TTGAAAAATTGTAGGATCCATAAAATATGCGGTTAAGATTGATTATTGATTTTGACTTAAATTAAGAGCCTGTTTGTCATAGAGTGATGAATAGAATTTTTTGGAGAATGTGATTGAAATTTAAAGTAACTTTATTAGTTTGTGTGTAGAATATTTTATTGGGTGAATGTGTGCTGGAGAATCTTACTGTACCAAACAATTTTTTAGGATAATAGTAGACAAACAGAGCTAAAATTTGAATTTTAATCGGTATCAAACATGGGCATAGTCTCTTCAAATTAAAAGATCTTGGAAGTTCGAAATATTTCCTTGACTTTGAGATTGTCTGCTCCCATAAAGGAATCTTCCTTTCTCAAAGGCACTACACACTGCAATTGTTGGAAGATACTGGCTTTTTGCTTGCAAGCCAACCCTGTTACCCATGAATCCCAAAGTTAAGCTCTGTTCATTCGAGGTAAAGCTTTTTCCTAATGCTTCCAGTTATAGAAGATTGATTGGTTGTCTAATGTACTTAACTATATCCAGATTGGATATCACCTTTGCAGTTCACAAGTTAAGAATTTGTTGCTCAACCTAAAAAACCTCATTTAGATGATGCTCATCATCTTTTGCAATATATCAAAGCTACTCCAAGACAGGGGCTGCTATTTTCAGCTGTTTTTTTCCCTCCAACTTCGTGCATTTGCTGATTAGGGCACTTGCTTGGATACAAGGAAATCAGTAATAGGTTTCTGCATCTTTCTTATTGATTCTTTGGTTTCTTGCAAAGCTAAGAAACAAAGCACGCTGTCAAAGTCATCAGCTGAAACTGAATATCATACTTTGACATTCACAACCAATGAACTCATTTGGATATCTCAACTACATGATTTCTAGATTTCATCCCATGTTCTTGCTCTTATTTTCTATGACAATAAAGCAAACATACACATTGCAAGCAATCCCATCTTTCACAAGCAAACTGCGAACCAAACATATCGAAATTACGAAATAGATTGTCATTTCATTCAAGACAAAATTACTGATGGATTTGTCAAACTGATGCCTGCTCGAACACAAAACCAATTGGTTGATATCTTCACCAAGCCTCTTCCTGCTAATCTGTTGTTCCCTTTATTGTCCATCTTAAGAGGAAGTAACAGAATACAGTTAACAAGGAAGTTGAAGGTGGTTTGCAATGTGGTCTAGCTCCAGCTCAGTCTGCACAAGCTCAATTCAATTAGGCCGCTAGTTAGCACATGTCATCTTTGTATTGATTGTATCGTTAGTTAGAGATTCCTATTTATAGGCGGATGTAATGCATACTATGGTGAGTAATTCAATTCAATGCAATTATATTCTTCTCCATTTCAATACAAATAATTAATCAGTAAGATAATCAATGTAACAAAATCAACTCGAGATGAAAACTCCCCAACTGAAATGAGGATGATGATAACAACATTTTAGTATTGATTTTGTGGGATTTCCTTCATCGACAATTTCAAATAGTAATTCCGATTAAACATGCCATGCTAGTATGGTACCAAGATTCCTCAGCATCCTAAGTATAATTCACCCATGTTTACTAACATCAAATCTACTAAAGTAAAAAATCTGCATAAACAGGGGATGACTCCAGGAACTAGAAATTCTGGGGGAGAAATTTCAAAAGCAAAATCATCCAAATAATTACTTCAAAACCCCAGTTAATACCTGCACAAAGATTGATATAATTCCCAACTACATACGTACTGCAATCACAAACAAAAAAAAAAAAAAATTGTGTCATTCAGAAGAAGAGTTGTGCTTGATGCAACACACTTGAGACATCGAGAATTTTACTAAGTCATTGAATTACTCCAAATTTTTACATCTCAAATTCCGTAAATCCACTGGAAGCAAATAACCAAATCCAACAGCACTAAACTAGAGCAAAGGTACCAATTATATTGCCAAATTCAATTACTAGATCTAATACCTCTAAGCCCTTTCACCCCTAATCCTCCTGGCCAACTGGATATCCTTAGGCATAATAGTAACTCTCTTGGCATGAATAGCACAGAGATTGGTATCCTCAAAAAGTCCAACCAAGTAAGCTTCAGCAGCCTCTTGTAGAGCCGCCACGGCAGAGCTCTGGAACCTAAGATCCGTCTTGAAATCTTGAGCAATCTCCCTAACAAGCCTCTGGAATGGCAATTTCCTTATCAAAAGCTCAGTGCTTTTCTGGTACTTCCTGATCTCCCTCAGCGCCACCGTTCCGGGGCGGAATCGGTGAGGCTTTTTCACTCCTCCGGTTGCGGGGGCCGACTTCCGTGCCGCCTTTGTTGCCAGCTGCTTCCTGGGTGCCTTGCCCCCGGTTGATTTCCTGGCTGTCTGCTTTGTGCGCGCCATTGGTAAGAATTCTTGATGCTAAATGCTAATGGAGAAAGCCAAATTTTTGTTTGTGTGATAATTAATGGTGGGATTGAATGGGGATTTATAGGGGTTTTGGGTGAAATGTGAAGAGCGGGAAGATTTCAAAATTTCGAGGTTTTTGGAAGTGAGACTGTGAGAGAGTTTGGACTGTTGGATTAACTGTCATTTCACCGTAGGATTCCTTAGGAGTTTGATTGACGAGGATCGCATCGGAGTATAATTTGTCGAGAAAGTATTTGAACCGTGTATTGAATTGTTATTAACGGATAGGATTGATTGGAGATGACCGACGCGGATCACTATCTGGACTTTTTTTACAGGTGTGCAAACTAATTTTGTGAATTTGAATAAATTTTCGTATAAATCAAAAGAATCAAATTAAGCACTTGTTTGATGAGATTAAATTTAAACTTTTAGTAATTATACTAGTTTTAGGCCGTGCGATGCACGGGTTGTTTTATTTTGAAGGTGATATTAGCGTTGTATGATAGCGTAATTAGATTAATATTGTAAAACATTTGTAGAGAAATAAAACTATACGTTACATAGATGGGAAAATGTTTATAATAAATGAATGCACGAGCATAAAAGCCATCATTTTAATACAAATAAATCATTTGAGCAGACTTGTATGCTACATTAAATTCGTAGAAACGTCAGCTATGCGTTTAAAATGGCAACATGCCGTTTTAGGTCACAAGGTCGGGAATTGTGGGGGCTAAATGAACGACAGTGATACGAATTTAACACTGAATTAGAAAAACGGCAGTCATACGAATTCAACACTAAATTAGAAAAATGGCAGTCACACAATTAAAACGTCCATACGCCGTATCCAAAACAGCAATCAGCCAAATTAGTGATATTGGGTAGGAAAATTTTGGTTAGGGGTTGTGGGAAGTACATTAAAGCTATCTCCATTCAGGAGCTAGGTCGGCTAGCTCCATCCAGGATGGAGTTAGGTTACGAAATTCGTAAAACGTCAGCTATACGTTTAAAACAGCAACATGCCGTTTTGGGAGCTAGGTTTACTACATTCGTAAAACGTCAGCTACACATTTAAAATGGCAACATGCCTAAAAAATGGCAGTCATATGATTAAAACGTATATGCGCCATTTTAGTATCCAAAACAGCAATCAGCCAAATTAGTCATACTGTCTTTGGGTAGGAAATTTCTGGTTAGGAGTTGTGGGAATTACGTTAAAGCTATCTCCATTCAAGATGGAGCTAGGTCGGCTAGCTCCATCCAGGATGGAGTTAGGTTACTAAATTCGTAAAATGTCAGCCATATGTTTAAAACGGCAACATGCCGTTTTGGATCACAAAGTCTGGGGCTAAATGATCGAAAGTGATTCGAATTCTAAAAAATGGCAGTCATGCGATTAAATGTCCATGTGCCATTTTAGTATCCAAAACAGCAATCAGCCAAATTAGTGATACTGTGTTTGGGTAGGAAATTTCTGGTTAGCGGTTGGGAATTACATTAAAGCTATCTTCATTCAAGATGGAGCTAGGTCCAGGATGGAGCTAG